GGGGCAAAGGAGTTGCCCTACGTACACACATATACACAATGTCACCAGTGGACTATTCCTCTATTGTAAAATCCATTTGTGCCAGACATTTCAAATGCATTTATTTAACCAAGCATCCTGGTAACATTTCCACGAAATCTATCCATTGCAATCAAACTTTCCTGTGAAGTTCTTGTGATTTTAACATGGTGAATGTATCGCTGTGGTGGTGGTGGTGGGGAGTCCAAGAATTCATCCGATTACATAGCAACGAAGCCTGTGCCTTTTATTCTGGGGGCTACATGCATCTGTTCTATATGCTGTTGTATATCACTTGTTTAGTTGGCTGAAAATCGCCCGTCGGGGAAATCAAAGCAACTATAAAAAGCTTGCCTGAAGGATTTTAAATATAGTAAAGAAAAAAGAAGAAGAAAAGGGACTCGTTTCTCTGGCAAGGGCTGAACTACAGAGTCCCACTCTCAGCGGAACAAAAGCAATCCGAAATGGCAGTCATGGGAAATCTTCAGCGAAGCGGCAGTCTGCATTAATTTAAAATGTGCACGCCCGCCCAGGAGTGACATATGGATTTTGTGCCTTGCAGTGCGATGAAGCTTGTGACACCTGTTTCATAAGCACACACCAGCCTGCTTTTTATTTTCTCTTTCTATAAACTGAAGGTAAGAGCGCTGCACCAATCTGACACCAAAAAATTGTGCGGAAAAGTCACTACTAAATACTTGCATTGCTTATTTTCAGACTAATTCTAAGAACTCAGCACTTTTGGTTAGAATTCCTTTTATGGTCTCTTTTTCAACCAACACCTCTAATTTGAAGTAGGAATGCACACTATATTGAGTTTGTACACCCATATTGGGCGATATTAGCATGTTTAATATCACAATTTGTCACTAAACCTCTCTGTGTCCCTAATTATCCAAGACATGTGAAGATCACACACATGGAGGCATGATTCCCCTCCCCCCCCGAACCTTAATCCAGAGCCATTTTGCATTTAAGGATGATATGGAAGAGTACTATAATTGCGTACATTCCTTGGGGGAATTAGCAAGAGCCATTGATTCCCAATTTGGATTCAGATTGGAAAGTTTAATCTGTGTGCAGAGTGGAAATGGTGGCCAGAGAGCAAAAAATAGCTTTGCAGCTTGAAACACCAAATGCAATGTTTGCAGAAGAATAAGATGGCTAGCTGCTCAAGTACAAATTTATGCAAGCTGCCCTAACCCACATTTCCTGGACTGCCGATTTATGCTTAGCTATGAAAGAGACTGAGACAGACAGGTGAATAATATTACTGTCACTGTATAAGGGGCGAGGAGTGGTGCTGAGGATTTGGCAGGCTGAAATGGAGCTGTACAAGCCCTGAGGGGATGCTTAGGCGCAAATGACACAGGTTTGGACATGATGGCAGGAAGATAGGGAGATTTAGAGAATAGGGGAGGTGGAAGGAAAGCATGGGACAATAATCGCTCCTTGACTCTCACTATAACACTACGGTTTGGTGCTCAGTTTTCAGGGCTTCATGGAGTGGCTGACCATGAATTCTTGGGCATTTTGCTATTTGATGACAAGACACCTCATGGGGTCAAGAAATATACAGTGGTGTAGGCCTGTAGGGGACTCTCCCTCTCTCTTCCTCTCCTTTTCTTCTTTCCTTCTCTTTTTCTTTTCTCTCTTCTTTCCCCCTTTCGTTTTCCTTCCCTTTCCTGCTCCTACAGTATCCTCTATATCATACACCCTAGCTTAGTGATGATGATTATTATTGCTATTCATTTTATTCCAATGCACTTCTCTTTACTAATTTCCTTTGTGTGTCTTTTGTATACGGTGTGATGGGCACAGTTCTCCAAATGGTGGGAGATTGATTCTGTGAATCCACCCTAATAATTTTTAACTTCCCTCCTTGGATGTTGCAGTGCAGGTGTTAATTGGCCAGGGACTATGAGAACAATGTCAGTACTTTTTTTATAAATATTTTTAATTAAATTTTGTGTTTTCCAATTTAAAATACTCATTTTTACATCCTTAAGATATCAGTGACTTCCTTTCTTCTCTTTCCATGGTTCATTTTACATATCATAAATCCCTGCGTATTTTACAAAAACTATACCATTCAGTATTCCATTATTACATCCATCAAAACTTATTTACACTGTTGAATTTATCTTAATGCTGCCAGTGTCCTCAGCTGTACACAGTTATATTCAATAAACATTTTCCAATCTTCTCTAAACGTATGTCCTTCTTGTTCTCTTATTTTATTTGTTAAGTCTGCAAGCTGCGCATATTCTGTCAATTTAAGTTGCTATTCTTCTTTGGTTGGGACCTCTCTCGTTTTCCATTTAACAATGTCAGGACTCTTTCCTAGACTGCTCTATAACTGGCTTTGGTATGGCCTACACTGAAGACAAGAAACAGTGCTGTGAATACTCATCGTTTGGATGGAGGGGGAACAAGTATACAGTGCAAACACACTGATGATACCATCTTTAATGGGCTGCGTGAGTTTTCCTTGTGAGTTTGTCTTCTTCTGCATTGTATGTCAGAGTGTATGTGTGTCTCTGAGCTGTCTACCTTAATTTCCTCAGTTGTCTCTTCCATCTTTGTCTCTCAGGGGAATACAGAAGGCGACAGGAGGGTGTGCTCCCGCTTTGCAGCATGCAAGTGGGTGGGTGCGCTGCTCGGAGCATGGCAGGCCGTTCCGTGGCATATCAGTCGCCGTGACTATTTTTGTTTTACTGCTACAAGAAAACGAATGTCTATGACATGTTCTTCATGAAGGAAAGCCCTGAAGGGCATGATCACAGTCGAACCTTTATTATGCAGACCTTGGTTATATAAATCAGCGCTGGAATAATTCTGGAGGAAAGTTCTCAAATATATTCTCTCCTAACAGGAATATACTTGCAAACAATAACATACATATTCTCAGAGATTCTACCCCCCCCCTGCATTCTAACATTAGGAGAGCAAGGCGAAGCGAGGTGTAAGAATGTTTAATTCTGCAAGTGCTGACTTAGGGTGTCATCTGAATCTGGGTTCATGGTTTTGCTCTCTCAAAACTAACCATGAGTTTTATTCAAGAATTGTCCTGTGGTTTATGACTCATGGATTTGTCCTGCAGAGCTAAACCAGGTTCAGATGACACATTAAGCAAGACCATGGCTTAACACAGCATGGTGCAGCAACAGAATGACCAAGGAGGAGCAAAACAGCCACAATCTCATCTTGCAGAGCCCACATACTTGCACGTTCACTATAAACCATGGTTTGGCTTAACATGATGTGGAAACTAGGTCAGTTATTAACAGGTGAAGCCATGGGGATGTGGGAAGAGTGTCAACACCCGCTGGTCTGTTGTCTGTTATGCAGCTTTCCCAGGCAGAGTCTGGACCTGGAGAGTTGGCCAACCCTACTGAGGGGTCTTTTCCTTCAGAACCCGCTCACCTTTGATGCAGTTCAATAAAAGCTTTTACTTTTACTTTCAGAGGTATTTTGATGGCACACCAGCAGAGAAGGGCTTCTGTCCCCATGTGGGCCTCTCCTAGAAGGCATCTGGTTGGCTATTATGGAGAGCAGGGTGTTTGATTCAATGGCCCTAATTTAGTCTCTCTTACTACATCCTTATGCCCCTTTGGCTGTTCCTAGAGTGCAGCCTAGACATTAGGTCTGCAGGAGCTCCCCCAGCAACAGAAGATGTGGTCACAGTCCCCATGGCAACAGCTGTTTGCATCGCTGTGTTCTATTGAATCATGTGGAGACTTGGGACAGGTTGGTATCAGCGGTGGGGGTGGGTAATAAGCAGCAAAAAGCATCCAAGAAGGAGTCAAAGGCAGAGAGGGAGAGATGGAAAAGCATCCCCTGTTGAAGGCTGGGAAGCAGGGCAGAGATGTGCCTCTAAATCCACAAATCTACGTTGGCGGGGACAACTTGCCAGAACCTTTCCCTGTCGGTATTCTCCAAATTGACTTTGGAGGATACTGACTTTTAAATCTATGGAAAAAGGAAGGTTTAAAGTTTGGACATTTTCTCCTGCCAATATGGTACTAGTAAAAGGTAAATGGACCCCTGACCATTAGGTCTAGTCGTGGCCGTCTCTGGGGTTGCGGCGCTCATCTCGCTTTATTGGCTGAGGGAGCCGGCGTATAGCTTCCGGGTCATGTGGCCAGCATGACTAACCCACTTCTGGAGAACCACAGCAGTGCACGCAAACGCCGTGTACCTTCCCACTGGAGCGGTACCTATTTATCTACTTGCACTTTGACGTGCTTTCGAACTGCTAGGTTGGCAGGAGCAGGGACCGAGCAACAGGAGCTCACCCCGTCGCAGGTATTCGAACTGCCGACCTTCTGATCAACAAGCCCTAGGCTTCTGATCAGCAAGCCCTAAGTTTAACCCACAGCGCCACCCGCATCCCTTAATATGGTGCTAGCCACCTTTAAAACAAACAAACAAACAAACAAACAAACAAGCTGATAGCCTTTCCAAAGGAATCAGATGAGCAGCTCATTGTAAATACAGAAAATATGTTATTATGATTAACAGTTATGTTTGCTATAAGCTTGTAGGTCTTTCCCATTCTTGGTATGAATATATTGAAGATGGTCGTGGAAGGGCAGCCAAAATGATCATGGGGCTGGAACAACTCTCTTAGGAGGAAAGGTTGTGACTTTTTAGTTTTGAAAAAAAAGCGAGTAAAGGGAGGCATGATAGAATTGTAAGGTATTACGTTTGATGTGGAGTATTGGACAGAGACTATATTCTTCATAATACTTGAACTTGGGGCAATCCAATGATGCTTGAATGGTGGGAGTTTCAGGATGAACAAAAGGCAGTACTTCTTCACACAAAACACAGGTAAATGCTGCAATTTGCTGCCGCAAGGTGTAGTCATGGCCATCAGCTTGGTTGGCTTTGAAAAAGGTTTAGACCAGGGGTTGTCAACCTGGTCCCTAGCACCCACTAGTGGGTGTTTCAGGATTCTAGGTGGGCGGTAGGGGGTTCTACGGCACAAGCTGAATACTCCTTCCATCGAGCACTGGTGGGCGGTAAGGAAATTTTACCATCAAGAAAGATGCATTAGTGGGCGGCAGGTATAAAAAGCTTGACTTTCCCTGGTTTAGACAAATCCAGGAGGACAAGGCTATCAGTGGGTACCTGTGGAGGGTATATTTTGCCTCCACTGTTGAAGGCAGTAATGCTTCTGCAAACCAGTTGACGGAAATTGCAGGTGGGGAGAGTACTCAGCTCCTGTTTTTGGCTTCTCATTGGTATATGATTGACCACTTTGAGCACAGGATGCTGCACTGAGATAGCCTTTTGGTCTGATGCAACAGGACTCTTATTACTAACAAAAACAACAACGTAAGCTAAATCTCTCTAGCACCTGGCGACACATCAGAATACCATACCCTCCAACATGTCCAGGCCCAAAACCAGGCTGCATGGCTTCTGAGCAAGTCACATGACCTGCGTGAGATTGCAGCCCCACCAAAAGTGCTTTTTTCAGGACTGTGTGCTTCCATGAGAGCACAGCACCCAAAAACACACATTTGGGGGTGCTGTGTGAGATCATGGCCTTGAAAAAAGCACTTTTGGGGTGTGAGATTGCAACATCCAAAATGGCTGCTGGCTCTTACATGAAAAAATGGGATGTCCCGGTTTTCCCAGGAGAGTTGTGGAGTATGGAATACTGTTTTTGGTAAGCAGAGTTATATATTACTTTTTCAAAACCTGCTCCCCTTTCTTTCCTCACTCTCACCCAAGGAAGGCCCTCAGAAACTTGAGATCCTGGGGCCACGTGCCCTGAGGGCTGAAGATGGCCCTCTGAAAACAAAGTCTCAGGCCAAAATCCTAGACATCCCCAAGACATCTAGTTGCCGAAATTCACCACCTGGCTGGAAACATAATTGTGATTCCTAGAAGGAACACCGTTTCCAGAGCTGGTTGCTCTGGCAACACATACCTTTGAAATGGGATTAGAGGACGGAGGATTGGATCAACATGCTTGGCCAGGTGCAAGATAGCCAACAATTTAAGAGGTAAGAACTACGTCTGTTGTCCTTTGTCCCAATATCAATGCTCATTGGTGTTGGGGTGAAATGTCATGTTTGTATTAAATCAAACTTACTTACAATTTACCTTTCCTCTGCTCTGTCCAGACATGGTTTACAATTTAAAGCTCTGTGTCTGAGCAGACCACCATTTTATTTTATTTTTGCTCCAGAGCTTTCCTTGCAAAAAAACCTCCACTCTTTAAAGCTCAACTGGCGCAAATGGTAATCCTCATAAAATCCGAATTGACGTTTGCTCAGATTAAGCTTTCAAGAGTGGGTTTTGGAAGGGAAATCTGGGGGCAGAATAAAAATGCTCAGACACAGGGTACACACCTCTGCCGGGAAAGCAGAGGGAAAGGTAAGTGTGGATAAGTCGTTTGTGGTCTCAGATTTCACTGTGCATTAGTTAGCCAGCTTATTTATTTCTCTATGCTGCAAAGCTGCGGGAAACTATTTGATTTAGTAGATCTGCCAGCATGAAAGTTTCCGCCATAAAGCACTGCCACTGCTAAGGGGAGGGGGGAGAGGGGAGGAAATGCAGCAATTCATCTCAGAAACAGCCTGTTGTTTTAAACCAGTATAAAACAGATGCATGTTTGAGTGTAGATCTGCCTAGAAGAATATCAGATCTGGGCACAGAGACAGGAGTGATTTTGCCAATGCTTTTAACACACTCTCCCTGCCCCCTGTCTCCCCCTAGGCATACATCAGAACGTAGAGGCACAGTCCCAGGCAAGTTGTCAAGTATTTGTGCTCTGATCAGTGCTGACAACAGAATTTGGGTGGGGGGTGGTGGTTTGGGGCATGGTAACCTCTGTGCTATGCTTTATCCCAGGAGAGCTAGTACTTTGGCTACTCTGTGTAAAGTGGAAACAGCAGTCTTGTTTTTAGCACAGTGGATCCTCAGCTGGCCTTGGGGCTTTGGCAAATCCTCAGCCTTGCCACCCTCTGAGGCTCGTTCTGGCTCTGATGCTTTAGAAGAAGGGCCAAGAACCTGTGCTTTTTCAGATATTCTTGGGCAACAACTCCCGTCGTGACTGACCATTGGCCATGCTGATGGGGCAGGTGGGAGTTGTCACCCAGCCGCATCTGGAGTTCTGCAGGTTCCCCATCCTTGCTTTTGGAACAGCTACTGAATCCTAGCCTACTTTAAGGCAAGTCACGTTGGCAGCAGCACCACCATTTCCATTTCCCATTGCTGCCTAGGGTGTTTTTTAAGAGAAGGAGAAAGGCGGAGGCAGAGGTAGAAATTTGATAGGGCTTCGTAGAACAAAGCCAGGGCCGTGTGTGACGAGGATTCTGGCCTGCCTTATTTCTACCATCGCAGACAGTGGAAATTTAACTTGCTGGATTGATGGGCACTATTTAAATGGGCACTGTTTATCCACACTTCCTCGTGTCTTGCTGCTTTCTCCCAGGGAAAACCACTCGTTAGTGCTCAATTGGACCAAACAGCAATTTCGGTTTTCTCCAGATTGACGTTTGCTCCTATATATCACTAAAGGATGGGTTTCCTCTGGGAAAGCAGCTGGGCAAGGTGAAAACCACTCAGACCCATGCCTCAAAAGCACAGGTCAAGTGGGAAACCGCTTAGACCCAGGTATTCTAGATGCAGGACAAATGTGGCCAAGCAAGCCCTGACTCTTGAAGGAGAAGGGGTACGTTGTCCAATGAAGAGAGATGGTGGCGTTGCCGCAGGCACTGGGAATGACAAAGAAGAGTTTGGATTTGATATCCCGCCTTTCACTCCCTTTAAGGAGTCTCAAAGCGGCTAACATTCTCCTTTCCCTTCCTCCCCCACAACAAACACTCTGTGAGGTGAGTGAGGCTCAGAGACTTCAAGGAAGTGTGACTGGCCCAAGGTCACCCAGCAGCTGCAAGTGGAGGAGCGGAGACGCGAACCCGGTTCCCCAGATTAGCAGACTACCGCTCTTAACCACTACACCACACTGGCTCTCAAAGCCCAAGATATTTCCTTTAATATTCTCTCTGTCTTTAATATTCACTCTTACTGTGTTTTGGTAAAATTGCAGGCAGATGAAGATGTTGGATGGTGGGTGAAAGACCCTGTGTGAGAGGCAGGGAAGGGAGGGTCTCCCAGGGTGAGAGGCAGGGGAAGGAAAGAGATGCTGCAAGGCGAGAGATGGGCGGGTGCATCCTTCTCCGTATGGGATAAAAATTAGGATATACTGGTGAGATAGTATTTCTCTCTCCCCCCCTCCCCCCTCCCTCCCTCCCTCTTTCTCTCTCTTATTTTTTTTGTTTAGATTAGCTTGTTGTTTTATTGTATTGTGAAAAGTCTTAATAAAACTTTATATATAAAAGGCCCACTAACACAAATACATGTAAATATATTTAAATACTTCTCTTCAGTCTTAACTCCTAGGCTAGAAGAGCTGGCTAAATGCAAAACCGTACATCCACGTTATAAAGCAGACAGGTGAGGAATAAAGTGACCAGACTTCAGACAAATAAAAATCCACCCTGGATTGACGGATTTGTTTACAACGACCGAATTAACTCAGTATGCACATATATGAGAAAGGGAACGGCATGCTAAAGCTGGACAACCAATTTTATTATGTTGCAACACAGTTTCAGAGCAAGATTCACTGTCCTTTAGATCTTTGTGTTTTTTATGCCTCCCTTCAATGATTTCTCCAGGGTGGTTTACCAGAAGGAATGAAGGAATTAAAATGTAAGTGCAATACTAACTATAAACTAAAAACCACAAAAAGCAGCATAATACAGCAGGAGGAAAAATGCGCCTAAAAAGCTCAGGAGAATCAAAGCCTGGCGGCAGGGCAATAAGTCTGGTGATTGTGGTTTCCCCCAGTACGAAACAGTCCTGTGATCTCACCATTGTAGGGCCATAGCTGGCGGTATCCAAATCCACACCTAGAATGTGTGCTTTACAGTCCAGGGTTCTTGTGCAGGAGCTGGGGGAGGCTAGAGCGGTGATGGGAGCTGCATACCCTCTAACATTTCTCTGATGAAAATAGATTTTGGTCAGGACTGCATCAGGGGAGAATACCGTTGATCGCCCCTCCCTCCTCGCCTGCAGTGATCTTACAATTATCAGCCCTTCCAGAGGCTGCTATTGCCTGTTACCTTACCTGTATTATAAAACGCATGCGCAGTAGAGGCAAACAATCATTTCAAGGCTGCTTCGGACTAGATGCATACCCTCCAACATTTCTCTGATGAAAATAGGGACATCCCATTCCATAATGATCATTTTACTATTTATACCCCACACATCTTACTGGGTTGGCCCAGCCACTCTGGGCAGCTTCCAATGTATATAAAAACACAATAGAACATTAAACATTAAAAAAAAACCTTCCCTATACTGTACAGGATTGCCTTCAGGGGTCGGATAGTGCCATACCCTCCAATATTTCGCCAATGAAAATAGGGCCACCCTAAGGAAAATCAGACATTCTGGGATCAAATCAGAAACCAGGACGGCTTCTGTCCACAAATTTGTGCATCCCTACACTTGGAGGGTCTGGAGTTGGGCCCTAAGATGCAATAACTAAACAATGTTATCTGTCCTTTATCTGTACCGACTGTACAAAAGTCAACAAGAATTCAGTAATCGCAGCCAAAGAAAGCAAATAACATGTAAATATCATCTGTGCACACCTGAACTGCAGGCTCTGCCTTACAGCTATTCAAAGCCCCCAGCCTCAAAATGCAATTGCATCCTGAAATTGCAGGCACGCAACTGCAAAATGCAGTGACACCGTTTGTCAAGGAACACAAGTCTCTTGAGACATTTCCTTCTAGACTTTGATCTTCTTGCAGCGATAGGAGCTGCAACTGCATGATTTCTTCCTTGGCCTCTAAATAGCTGGTGTGTGTAGGAGGAGACCCAGAGAGCTAGATCAAATCTTGATGTGGGCCTTATCTGTGCTGTAGGTTGGGGAGATTCCACACCACTGATCTAGTTCTTTTAAAAGGAGGGGGGAAGCATTTATATTGCAGACATTGCAAAACCATGTGGCAAGCTGTTCCATAGGCTGTGTATGAATTATTTCCTTTAATATGCCTTACGTTTCCTACCATCAATTTTATTAGATGTCTGAGAGAGACATATTGTCTCATGCGTTGCTGCTGTTTTCCTTTTGTTGGCAAACCCAGACCCACCGCTGAATGGTTCGTGACAGAGGCAGCTCTGAGGGCGCAGGCATCACCCAGGTTGAAGGAGCTGGCACGGCCTCGGCCTTGCCCGGCTGGCTGGGAATTCCATCGTTCCCCTTATTCTGTGGTATGTAAGTCCTTCACTAGCCTGCCTCCTTTTTGGCCCATCTGGCGTGACTGCCCCGAATGCTTCCCTGCAGTTGAGATTCCACACGATGATGTAGCTGCTCCATGTTGGCTTGCTGCTTACAGACATTTGTGGCAGCCTCATACCCTGTTGCTGTAACATTTGAATAAAGCTTCCCTTCCCTCTCTATAGCAGGGGTTGGGAATCTCCAGACCGTGAACCAGATTTGGCCCATGGGGCTTGGAAATATACTCAGAGTCGAGAGTGGATTTCATGCTCTTTATTCAGCTCATAGTGGAGAGGAGGAATGGAAGTTCCCCCAGAATGTCTGCTTTATATACATTATTTACACAATGGGCCCCATGTGATTGGCTAATTCCGGGATTCTCCTGTAGGCCAATCAGGTTGCGGATTCACTTCCACCTGGAGCTGGATTGGGTGGCTCCTGTGGACCAATCAGACTGCTGCATTCTGAAGTCTATTGTTCTAGGACCAATCAGACTGCTGCATTTTGCATCCTATTCAACTCAGTACATAACAAGGCTGTTCTTCAAAAACCACGCCCACCTGCCCCACACCTAGCATGGTCAAGAGCTTCTACTCCACAACATCAGCTGCTGCCATCAGGGAGAGAGACAAGCCAATGTCGCCATGATGAGTCCACTTCCTGTGCCACAGGTTGGCTACATAGGCAGTAGAAATCCACAGAGCAATGAGCAGAAGCATTTTTATGTGCAGAAAGCAGAAACCATCAAATCTTTGCTTCTGATCATTGGCTTTTGGGTTGCCCTCTATATGCTCCAACTTGTGCCCCTCTTTTGTTGACCTTCCTTCCACTCTCAGCTCCATGCCACCTGCCAAACTACCCTCATCTTGTCATGTAACTTCCTTCCCTTCCATCCATTCAATTGGTCCACCACGCCACCTCTGCCTCCCCTGGTTCTTGCTTGTGTACTCTTTGCTGTGAGAATATTATTACGTTGTCTCTGCTCATGATCCTGCTTTCCCTCATCCAGCCTCTTCTTCATTCCTGAATCCTAATATGACAGGGATGGGGTTCTTGTGCCCCTCCAGAAGGTACCAGACTACAACTCCCATCATCCCTGGCCATTGGCCATGCAGGCTGCAGCTGATGGGAGTTGTGTTCTAACAAGATTTGAGTGACATCGGTTCTCTATCCCTGTGACAGAGCGTATCTTTAGAGCAGATTGTTCAACGGGTTTAGCAATCATTCTCTGTAGTAGTGGCATTAGGGTGGCCATATCTTGAAGAGCAAAAAAGAGGACAGCCCGAGCCGCTGCCAGTCAGAGCGGGGAAAAGAGGTGCGTGGATGCGCCTCCACAACCCTACACAAATCCAGAGTAGAGTCCCTAAGACGGTTGGTTGACGTCTTGTACGCCTCCTTCCAGCAACTCCTGCAGCCAAGCTGGTGCCAAACGCATTGCTTTGCTTCACTTTGGACCACATCAGTGAGGCCAAGAGGGGGCAGGTCTTGGCATCTGGGCAGCGCAGGACCTCCATACACACTGCCCAGGCTTGCACCCCAGGTAGGTCATTTGGGTGCTGCTAATGCAGCGGTTTGACTTCACCCCCAGAGGCACACTCCACTGTCTCTTAAGACAAACGGATGCCAACAAATAGTGAACCTTGTTGGGCATAATTTTTGGAAAGCTGCTGCAAGGGGAATTTGATTTGCTGTTCCTTCGTGCCACCTGCCACCCTCTCTTTGCTCGTGTGCAGTCCTGGCGCACAGATGTAGAGCATCCATGGAATACGACATCCTTCTCTCTTGTCTTCAGGTGACTCAGGCAGCAAAGAATGCCGTAGCCTCAGAGAGGCTACTTGCTCTAGCCAAGCCAAGGCCACAAGCCACAGAAGCAAACAGTAAGCCTATCCTTTTCTTGGTTACCATTCTGTGACAGGTTGAGGGGTTATGCTTTCCCTTGCTATCAACCCCCCCCCCATTCATTCATTCATTCATTCATTGAATTTCTCTATTGCGTTTATATCCCACCTTTTTCTCCAAGGAGCTCAGGATGGCATATCTGGTTCTCTCCCATGTCAATTACTCCCCACAACAACCCTGTGAGGTAGGGCCAGGAGGAAACTACTGGCCCAAGGTCACCCAGTGAGCTTCATGACTGAGTGAGGATTTGAACCCTGGTCTGCCATGTCCTTGTCTGACACTCTAACCATAACACCACATTTTCTTTCTTGTCCATTTCCAACTTTTTGTACAAAAGTCCCCTCCCCCCCCCCAATTGTTTAGACTGCACCAAAACATCATATTTTGTTCAACTGCTTGGGGAGTTTCTTGGCTTTTTTGCCAAGGACTCCTCTGTTGAGCCAAGATTTAGGAAAGAATCAAACTGAGGAAGGAGCTTCCCATTTGCGTTGACAGGAGGAGTCCCCCCAACCCCAGGCGACTCCCGAGTGGAATAATGACTCAAGACAACGTGCTATGGGATTAAAATTGGCCACAACTTTATTAAGTTTCAGATGTAGGGAGACCTTGGCTCAGGCATTGGGCGTTTATCCTTCCCAGTCCCCAGCTGGGGATCTGGGGGACATCAGGGTTATCCAGAATGTGTGGGGATTGGAGTGGCTCTGGAGAACATATGCTCAAGCAGAGAGCTTGCCCTCCATTTCGCCGCCGTTGTAGAGAAGAGCAATGACAACCTCTCAGCGTATGGCCAATGCCTCCCCTCAAGACCCCTTTAACAGGGAACTCTGGGATTGCCGCCGCAAGGGGGCATGAGTCACGCTTCACGCCCTCCCTCCCATTTAGGGAAGATAGACTAAAGGATTCTGCCCAAGGCCTGAAACCTCCAAAGTTGTGACGTTTTGCTACGGGGAAGGCAAAACCTGCCAATGCAGGAAAATTCCTTTCCGGCCCTTCAACAGCGACCATGACGTAGCAGCGCCCACGTACCTGTGGAGAAGAGGTTAACCTGCAAAAGAAGGCTTAACTGAGGGAGGGCAGGGTGGGAAAAGCTCTGGAGCCAACTGATGATTCCCAGGTAAGATCCACCCTCTGTTGTGTGGCCAGAGCGGTCCCTCCCCCTACCTGGCAGATCCTCTGGCAACGCCTCCTCAGGTGGGATTGGGCAACTGGCTGAAGTAGGCGGAGACCTCCAGGTATCCAGCCTGGGGAGGGTGAAGCCAGCCTGTTCTGCCCAGAGCCGCATGGGATCCGGGGGGCTGTGTGCACCCACGCAAAAGGCGCCCCCCCATTTGATGTGGGGAGCGGTCATTGCTTTCCCAGAGCTCAGAAGACACAGAACTTTACAAACCATTGTGGAAAATCCTTAGGACACAAGGGTTACATTGACAGCTGTGCAGGCAGAAAGTGGAGAAGGTTTTATAAGATGTTCCAGAGCAGACCCTTTTTGAAACCAATGAAACTTAATGTCAAGACATTTGTTATTAATTTTAGCAGTAGTAGGAGGAAGAGGGAAGACAACCATCTCTGGCCACACCATACATTGAAAGCACTCTGATACCACTTTAAACAGTCATCATGGCTTCCCCCAAAGAATCCTGGGAGCTGTAGTTCATTAAGGATCCCGAGAGTCATCAGGAGACTCCTAGCCCCCTAACAGAGCTACATTTCCCAGAGTTCCCTGTGAAGATGGACTGATTTGTAATTCACTCTGTTGATTGTAACTCTGTGAGGGAAATAGGGGTCTCCTAACAGATCTCACCCCAGCACAATCCAGGGAAGCTGTAGCAATGCTGATATTGGGAGTGGGTCTCCATGGCTCTGCCCCACCAGTTTGGCTGCTGCTGCCTAAGGTGAGACATGACAGAGCCAGCCTGCTCTTGGCACTATAATGCAGATGAGATAGCTTAAGTCTTCTCAAAAGGCTGAAAATCTGAGAAGTTTTGCTGATTGTGACCTCACTGCATCTTCAGGAATGTGTTGCTGCCCCTGAATTAAACCCCAATCTAACGCTTCTGGTTTGCTCTTGCAGCAAAATCTGGAAAGTAAATCCAAGGAGTGGTTGTTGAATTTGCGAAGCTTGGCAGACTCTCTGAACTTCAGATCTACATCTTAGGCGGTGGCAATCTTTACCAAGTTTCCAAGCCTGCTCTTCAGTATTTACCTGGTCCTCACATTCTTGAAATCAGCCATCCTGGGAGCGAAAAGGCAAAGTGGACATTACTCAGCCTTGACATTGACCAACTTGAGGAAGTGATTAAAGTATCTTGCACCCATCAAATCTGTAAACTGGGAATGATGTTTCATCAGTTTGGGAGGCCCCAGTCTATTGCTCGGTTGAGTAAAATTTTGGTCCTGCTATTTCCCTAGGTTGGGGGGGGAGGGCCTAGCTCTTAACACAACTTTGAGAAGTTCCTATGTCTTGCAGGGTCAACATTATTTGTTTATCTATTTAATGCTTCTAAACCACTTCCCCGCTAATGTTTTTCAAGCGGCGCACAACAGAAATATATATTTAAAAACATGAGTGATATTCAGCTAAGTTTTACTCAGAGTAAACTCATTGAAATGAATGGACCTAACTTAATCTTGTTTATTAATTTCAGTGGGTCTCCTCTGACTAAAACTTAGTTGCATATCATCCATCTCTCTATCTGAAAAACTGTAGAGATCTAAAAACATGGATCTTTGTAAGCATCACATTGCAAAAATTCCACATAGTATGCTGTTATCATTTTGTGGGTGCCTGGACCCCCCCATCTAATTCCTGGGTGCCACACACTGGATTTAGCATGTTAAAATACAAACCAGGAGCTAGCCTGATAATGACCCTCTAAAGATGAGTCGTTAGGGGCACAAAGGGAATGGCTCTGGACCAGAGAGCAAGTGGGAGAGGCCCTTCCCACAACTCATAATTAATTAGAAAGACAAAAGCCTTTGCAGGAGCATTTTTTTTAAAAGTTGAAAGGAGAGGAGTTGTATTTGGGATTGTGGTTGGGGATGCTGTGGGTTGGAGGAAAAACAGTTGTGTCAGCAAGCTAGAGCAGTATTTCCCAACCTTTTTTGGGCAAAGGCACACTTGTTTCATGAAAAAAATCTCGAGGCACACCACCATTACAGCCCCGTGACGTCAGCGCGCAGCGTCACGCCGGGAGGGGCATGAATTGCTAGCAAATTACATAATCACCTCCTTGAGGGCTGGCTCATCTTCTCCGAAGGCAGAACCCCATTAATTAACAGCACAGACTCACACCATAGCCAAGACGAGGGGGGAAAACCTCAGTCATGCACAGTCATGCACAGTCATGCACATGTGGGGGCTAAATGAGGACGAAGACCGGGCAGAGAGCAGGGTTCAAATCACCCCACCTGGCCAGGACAATCCCTGGGTGCTCCCTTGGCCTGACCCACCTCGCAGGGCTGTTGTTGCGAGGATAACACGGGGAGAACCACGCGCGCCCCCGGGAGCTCCTTGGAGGAGAAAGCGGGCGATGAATGCAATGCACGAAATATATGAGAGGCGACCAGGTTTTGCAGGTGAGGGGCCCCCGCCAGCCTCCGCTTCCAACACCCGGCGCAACGACGCCGAAGTTTCCCCCCGGGCTCGGCTCGGGGAGCAGCGCTGCTCCCCCCGGCTCCCCTTCGCCCTCCCGGCTCTCTCTGCCGCCCACTGGGGACCCCCCTCACCTGCCAAGTCCGGAGCGCCGGTGGAAGTTGCATGCATGCATGCAGGGCGCCGCGTTGCCATTGCATTGCACTGCACTCCATGCAACGCCTGCACGCATGCATTGCCTTGCACGCCCGCCAAGGGGTCTCCCCGCGGTCCGATGCGTCCCCTCCGGCGCGGATGCAGCATTGCAAAAATAAAAAACCCCCGACGCAGCCCTACCTGGGGGGCAGCCTCCGCCTCCGCCGCTCCGCCTCCGCGGGGATCCCCGGGCTCCATCCTGCCGCCCGATCTCCGGGGGGCGCAGGCAGGCTGCGCGGGGTCTGCGCGGAAGAGCCCCTGCCCGCCCGGCCGCCGCCGCTGCGCTCATTCCATGGCCGGGAGAAGAGCGCTTCAAACAAAACGCCCGGCCCGCCAGGCCACGCTGGGAAACGTAGTTTGCGCACCCCGCGCGGGCGCGGAGCCCAAGGGCGAGGGGACTACGGATCCCGGCAGCCCCCGCGCCGGGGACGGAGGGGGAGAGGCCGGGTGCAGGGATGGAGGGACGGGTGGGCGAGCGAGTGAGTGAGTGGCAGCCGCCAAGCCTTGGCCGAGAGCCAGGAAGGGCCTCCCCGGAGGAGGAGGAGGAGGAGGGAGGCGCAGAGCGGGAGGGAGGGAGGGAACCCCAGGGGTCATCTAGTGACGGCGCCCCAATCGAAAATTTGACTTTAAAAAAAAAAATCTTTCAATTTTTCCCGCGGCACACCAGGCAACATCTCGCGGCACACTAGTGTGCCGCGGAACAGTGGTTGGGAAACACTGAGCTAGAGGGAAAAATGGCAGTCTGTTAAAATGCAGCAAGCTAAAGAGGAGGATCAGAGCCATGCTTGATCTCTTTCTGAATCCAAAGCTGCAGCAAGGGGAGAAATAGGACCCTCTCAGAGTGTTCATGCCTCAAACCCCTCCATCGCAGGCTCAGGTTGTATATATGTGCAAGTAAACCATATATCCTAAAGACACCACATTCTCCCCTGTGCCTTATTTCCAAGAGGAAGAGGAACCCTGGGTAACTGCCTGGAACCCTGGAATCTCACACCTCTCGGAGACTGGGCTGGTGTGTGACAATATATGTAAAAAATCTGAGTCGCTCTCCTTTAGGCTTTCAATTGCTGCATCAAAGCAAAAATGCTAGGTGCTTGTCAGCGTGTGAAAGGAAATGGATTCCAACTTTGCCTTTAATTGAGGTGCCTCGGGGTGAGGGAGTTGCTCTCCTCTACTTCTAACACCAGCCATGTGGTGTCGCCAACGCTGTCTTGATAATTAACTATGGTGTGTGTGTGTTTATGCTAACCTTTTAAACTGCGGGTTTAACTCTGTGACATAGGGGCCTTTATAAAAACAACTACTGAACTCCATTTGTCATGAATGTTTATGTTTGGAGTTTGGTCCTTCCTATTATAAAGATGACTCAGGTTACACTCAGAAGCCACTTGGGACTTTTATTTCTATTTATATAGTAGTGATGATTCCTCTGTTTGCATCTATACGCATAAATGGGTACATGCAAATCTTATGCAAATCCTGACCCTCCTTTCTTCAGGCAATGCCTTTCCCCCTTTTAGGGAAATTTAAGTGGCCTGTGGAAACTCGGTTGTAATAGCAACCCGCCCGCCCCCCCTTTATTTTATTGGATGGATGCAGACAATGAACAAGAAAGAGCTTTTGGATGAGAAAACAACCACAGATGGCATTTCTGCAGGAAACTATCTTGTGGGGCGAGGAGCCTCTCCAACATTTACAACTTGTTCCTTTGTATGCTGCTAGTTCTGCTGCGAAGCAGCTGGCCGATGTCCTGAGGAAGAAAAGACAACAACTCCCTCTATCAATGGCAGGTTTTAGGCTAGAATGGAAGCAGTTGGCTCCAATGGAACTTTGCCTTTGAGGTGGGATGGTGCCAGGAGTGCTGTACAATTAAAGGAGGAAAGAATCACACACACACCCTGCCCCCTGCTTCCTGAGAGTTACAGATACAGAGATAAATGAGGGATGGTGCAGAGTAGATGATTCACTGGAAGAGATGGGGGAGAACCAGGCTTCAGAAAGACAATCTGCTAAATAATCTGTCACTCAAGCATTCAAACTGAATAAAATTTCCTCTTGTTTTAGACAGTTCCAATACAAAGGATAGCATTGTAGAGTAAGTTGAACCTTCGTTGCCTTCTTGCCATATTTTTTTAAAAAATATTTTTTATTTGGTTTTACAAGTATATATTTATAACAATACATCCATTCACATCCACATTTACAGATTCCTCCGAATTGCTGGGCTTCCGACCTCCCCTCCATGGGTCCTACTGTATATTTAAACCTTTTCTGCTTCATCTTTTCCAATATTCTATAGTTTATATCACTCCATTGTCTCCATAGTACTTGCTACATTATGAGTGTTATTGCAATCCTGATAATGTTTTCATCTGCTCACAGTGGTCTCCAAGATAAATTATAAATTTTCCCTGTTCTTTGTTGAAGTTTTGGTCTTCTTGGTTCCTGAGCTTTCCGTTCAGTTTTGCCATTTCAGCATGGTCCCACAGTCTAATTTGCCATTCTTCTCTGGTAGGAACTTGGTCTTCTTTCCATCTCTGGGCTAGTAGATCCGTGTGGCAGTCGTCGCATACATAAAAAGTATTTTCTGCCCCCTTGGAATATCAGCACCTATAATTCCTAATAAAAAAGTCTCTGTTTTTTGTTTTTTACAAAAGTTAATTTGAACATTTTTTTTCATCACATTGTATATGATTTTATTATTACCTTACAAGACCACCACATATGATAAAAGGTGCCGCCTTTTTCTTTACATTTCTTCTTGCCATCTTTTGATGAAGCTGGGTGGGCTCATAATGGTTTTCAAACCCCCCGTGCCTTAAGGTGCACTCAGATGTCAATGACATTTGTAACTGTGTTGGCCGGCATTGCACACTGTGAGCAGCTTTGGGTCCCTCTAGACTGGGGGTAGGCAAACTAAGGCCCAGGGACTGGATCTTGCCCAATCGCCTTCTAAATCTGACCCGCGGACGGTCTGGGAATCAGCCGAATTCTTTCATTTCCCCCCCCAAAATATAGTCTGGCAGACCACATGGTCTGAGGGATGGTGGACTGGCCCACGGCTGGAAAAGGTTGCTGACCCCTGCTCTAGACACATTCCCCCCCCCCCATTTTGTGTTCCTGATACTTTGTGCTCATGATGCTTTTCTGTGTGGTCAAACACGACCCTGCTTCCACTACAGTTTGCACCTGCAAAGTTTTGGGGTGGTCAGATGGCTTCCTTTCCAATCAGTGCACATCCCAGAACTGAAACGCTGTAACCACAAATGTTCTGGTTTATTTTTGCTCTGCTTCTGTTGTGCTGTAGCCCCTACAGACAGCAATAACGTGTGGTAGCATTGGGGAAGCATCGCAGAACAAACAAGAAGAGCAGAACAAATCTGTCACCAGCGCACTGGCATTGTGTCAAGAACATGCTGCAGAATACAGTCGCGGTAAAAGACCAGTATGGAGGGACCCTTATTTATTTACTTCATAAAATTTATACACCGCTTGATTATTTTTTTATAAAAAAAACAACCTCA